GTGTGTGTGTGTGTGTGTGTGTGTGTGTGTGTGTGTGTGTGTGTGTGTGTATCTGTGCGTGTATGGTGTGGGTGCACATATGTATGTTCATATACTATGGTGAAGAAAGTCTAAGCGTATACAGACTCCAGGCAGAGGCTCTGGCCTGTGTACCTTCACGTATTCACTAGTTTCTGCTGTAGACTTTCTGAGCTCCTCAGGAGCTGATTTCTGGCACAGAAATGGTCCTCGGGCTGGCCCATGATGACTGATTTTTACTTCCTGCAGTGTAAGTGACAATCCACATCCATTGCTCCTTTGTCCAAATGTCCCCCGCCTGGCTCCAGGCCACTGGCTGTCAGACCACCTGTGCCAAAAGCTCTGCGGATCCTCAGCTGTCTCTCATTGTTTCCTTCCAGAACCTTTAAGAGCTGCACTCCTGCTCTAACACAAATTAGTGATTAAGAACCCGGAGTTAGTGTGGATGCATGTGATTCTGCATAGTTCTCCAGTGATCCAGGTTGTTTCCTGTTGGTTAGTACTACATTCAAAACATTTGCAAATAAAATATATCATGCTCTTTCTGCTCTGAGTGCTTTGGGCCTGGATCAACCTCTTGAAACTCAAACAGTAGTAGAGCAGGCAAAGACTTCTCATCCAATGGAAAGACTCCGGCTGTTACTTAAAGGTTTGTTTCTTGATTACTTGAATACTGTGGTCCAGCGCCCAGAGCCTCTCTATGTACCGGGATACTGTGTATAGACCAGGTCTTCTCTAGAATCCACATGCAGTGAGGTAACAGACCCCACCTCATCAGCTGTCATGCCACTTGTGAGGAAGTGACAGCTGCTGTAAAGTGGGTAGACCAGCTAGAGAATATTGTCACAACTGTTGAATGTCCTTCCAGGCAGCAAGATTTAAACAGGGCCCCCAAAGGAGTCAAAGGAATGGAAACCGGACCTGTTTGAGCCAAATACCAAATGAAGTCATATGTATTTATGGGGACACTCGTGAGCTAACAGATCACACAAGAACATCTGGATAAGCCCCCACTGTGTCTGTTAGCCCCACTCGAGAGATCCCTGTAGTCCTTGTCATTTCATTGTGTCCGATGATTCCACTGGGAAGCCGTCAAGATTCTCCACAAAAAGCGCATTTCCATTTCTGTTGTACATAAGGAAATGATGGATTGTTTTCATTTGGTTTTGGTCTTTTTTTTTTTAAAGGGTCCATCTTGCTGGGACGATGTCTTAATTCCAAACCGGATGAGTGGTGAGTGCCAGTCTCCAGACTGCCGTGGAACCAGAGCTGTAAGTGTCTGACTAAATTATTTATGAATTTAGAATGCAACCTCCTTTCAGTGCCTACTACATTGGAATAGAGGCTAAGAGCATCAACTGACTTTCTCCCATATAGTCATAGATCCTATCAGAAGTAGAGTTATATCCAGATGTGTTAACCACATTCACCAAAACTCTCCCCGCATTTGTACCCCCAGTCTCACTTCCCGAGGAACAGCTGCTCTGGTGATGTAGAAAGGCAACTGAGAGAAGCTGGGAGTGGTAGGCTGGTCTTCCTCAGGGACGAGCACACCAATTAGTTGTTCAGCCCTGAAAACATACATACAAGTGACATCATAGGAATGAGCATTTATATTAGGAATACATATTCTATATTCCGTGTATTATGTATTATGTGTTATACATATACATTAGGAATATCTATACATATAGGTATATGCATACAATAACAATTAGTGGAAAAGAGGCTACTTTTTTTGATTTGAAGGAGAGTGAGGGGCAGTATACAGGAGGGCTTTAAGGGAGGAATTGGAAGGGGAAAATGTTGTTGTTATAATCTCAAAAAGCAAATGAAACCATTTTTCTTCTACTCTCAAACCATAACAATCAACAGAGATTTCTGTGACCTGAAAAAGTGTAGGAGGTGTGGGGAGATGGATCGGTTGATAAAGTGCTCACTACAAAGACAAGGAGGCCAGGCTTCAATCTTAGGCTCCCTCCTAAAAGGCCAGGCACCACGGCAGGTGTCTGAGGTCAATCCCAGCACATGTGTATAAGGCCAGGCACCATGGCACATGTCTGTAAAGCAGCATTGTGGAGGCAAATGCAGGCAGAGAGTCTAGCTGAAGCAGTGGTCTTCAGATTTAATGAAACCATATTTCACAAACTGAGGTAGAGAGTAATTTAAGGCTGATATGCAGATTACTCTCTGGATTCCACATGGATACATTCACATGTACCTATTTTCATCCATGCCCAAATACATGAACACACACACATACACACACACACACACACACACACCCCTCAGGGTAAGAGCTCAGTTCCTAACACTGTCCTCATCTCAGATGCCATTTTCAAGCCTCACGTTTCTCCTGAGAATCCGGACTAGATATAAACTGAAGTACCTGAAGCCTCTCGCTCTGGGTTTGACTGTTCAGGGAAGCCCGTCCTTGCCTAGTTGCTATAAAGAACACTGCAGAGGAAGCTAATGGAGAAACACATGGAGTAAGAGAGGAGGAATGGGGGCAGAACGCCCTTCACTCCCTAACCTCACCTTCCAGGGCTGTACAGAAACTGTCTTCTCTAAATGCTATCCTTCGTGGTTTTTGGAGTCTTCTCCTACACACACACACACACACACAGACACACACGGGGGGGGGGGCATGGTTGCTTAAACCATTGGTCATTGGTCATCAACTTAATCTCAGTCCTTCTGCCCCCCACCCCCCGGAAGCTGGGAGGGCAGGCCTGAAAGTCCCTGGACTAATATCCCGCTTCACTTTCTGTGGAAAAGCCCTGTCTTGAAGCTGCCCAAATACACCAGCTGCAAGCCAGCTTATTAACAAGCAAATGGTGCTTAGCAGCTGGAAGACCCCAAGGATTATGGGATCTACCTGCTAGATAACAGGGGTGCAGACTCAAATGTGTGTTTCAAGAGTAACTGTGGGAATGTGCCCATTTAAAAGCCCTACAGTGACTTCACAGGTGTTAAGGAAAAGCCAACAAAATGGCAGTTCTGAGCCTAGGAAAGAGAAATGAGACAGAAGGCCTATCTTGCTCCCAGCACCCGTACTTCGTGTTTGTATTCCACGCCCGTCAATTATCCCTCTTAAGGTTCATCTCTGACTCACCTTGCTGTTTTCTGACATCGTGGGAAGTTAGAAGACTTAACATGGCTGACAGGCTTAAAAGACAACTTCAGAGAGAAGCACCTCCTCCATGTGAAGCCTGTGCTTGTCAGCAGGGGACAATTACACAGAACAGAGAATGGCACTTCAGTCACAGACCCTGTCAGCTTCACACAGAGGAGCAGCTTCTCTCTAAAGATGTCTTTTCAATAAGGGTTGTTGTTGTTGTTTATCATTTATCTTATTTGTCATTTGTATATTGTATACTTTTAATCTCAAAAATCCTCAGGCAAGTCCTGCCCTTCCCATGCATTCCGGGAGCTGTAAACACTGACAAGGCACCAACACAAATGTCAGTGTTGGTTCACAAACCGTCCCAGCCAACTGGCAGTTCATATCTCCTCTAACGAGCAAAATCTGTCAACAGTAAGAGGTTCCGAGTTTGAGCTGCATCGTTAGACTGGCCTCCTCTCGCTAGTCTGCCAGGTGATCGAAAGGACACGGGGAGAGAAGGGAGCGGCAGGCAGACAAGCTTTCTCCATCACACAGGGACTGAGGACCACAGACAGACTCTCTGTGAATGCAAAGCCCAAAGAAAGAAATTTTAAGAAAAATAATGGCTTACATGTCAATCACAGATGTCAAATCACAATGCATCCTTGTGAGTTTCCCACTGGCGTGAAATTAAAGTGTATTGTTCTACAGACAGAATTCTTAAGTATAATTTATTCATGTGCATGAATATGTGTAATTATGTTATTTATACATATAGATATGATTACATATAATTGTGATACAGTACACATCCACTGTGTGTTTGTATATATATATGCATATACATACACATATATATATTATATAGGCAGAATAGATATAAATAGGTAAATATGATCAACAGAAGGAGGGAATAATGAACAGGTAAATGGAAGGATGGTTGATATATAAGAATATGTGTAAGAATGTTTATTTCTGTTGCATATCTTGGACACCATATAGTTCAAACTCAAACTCAGAAGAGCAGAGTTCTTAATCTATCATCAATTAGTATTTATACATGCACATATAGCCTAACTGGACCATTTTCAACCAGACAGATTTATCCTTAGTTTTTGAGATAGCAGACACAGGTGCTGGGAGCCAGCTCAGTTGGTAAAATGCTCATGCTGTAAGCAGAAGGGCCTGAGCTTGATCCCAGAATGTACATTTCTTAAAAGCCGGGTGTGCTGGCACACACTTGTAATGCCTGCACTGCCAAGGTAAGGAAAAGAAGGGGCTCTCTGGACAGCTAGTAGCTTTCATGGTGAGTTCTAGATCGAGTGGAAAACCATGTCATGAAGCACAGCATCTAATGAAGGAATTGGAAGTTGTCCTCTCAATCCACATGCACACACACAAAGAAAACATCATATAAAAACACCCACTTTACCCTAACTTGCTTTAGAAAGAGCACTCAGGAGCTGGTTCAGGTGCATAGTAGTAGCTTTTATTTTACGAAGGAGCATGGCATTCATTTTGAATCGCATCTTACTGTTTCCTAAATAATTATCTCACAGGGCATGTCCTTGAGATTAAAGGGGACATAATCAATTACAAGTTTCTGCACTAGAAAAATTAATTCAACTTTGGATGTGGCAGAAGACCTCCAATTTGCTATCCAAACTTTCTTTTATGTTTTACGTACTCAATAGCTTTAAGGCCTGAGATGGTGACCATATTGTGTCTGTCTATTCTGTGTGTTGAAGAACATGTGTTTATGTCACTTTCACACACACAGGCTAAGGAGAATCCAGAGATCCTAGTGTCAAGGCATTATGTTTACATCCTAAGCCCCCAAAGACATGAAGCCCTCCTAGCATCTCCCTACCAAGACCCCTGGCCTCAGTGATATGTCTGCATAAATGAGGCAGTTCTCAGGCATCCGGGAGGATGCCTCCTCTCCCCTCATGGCTCTCAGCTGGATTTCAGGATAAGGAAAGGGACATTCCTTCAGCTGAAATGAATTATCTCTCAAAACAACAAATGACCAAGGTTATTATTGATATACATATATGTATTTAACAACAACTGAGAGACAAGAGGCTATAAATTTGAAAGAAAGCAAGGGAGTAGATTTGGAGAAAGGGAAGGGGACATGATTCAATTATAATCTCAAAAATAAAAATGGAATGTAAAAGATTCTTTGAATGAAGTTAATTTCACTACTCGGTAATGACATACATCAATTTTATATTTATATAAAGTAAGAGTGACTTGAAATTGTGTGTAAAATTGTGTAGCTTTGTTTTGACCATATGATTTTAATAGGAGGTAAATTGTTTTAGATCATTTATGTTTGTCTTATCAAAAAGTTAAGAAGCTCTAAAAATACTTATGAGATTTATTTCACGTGACATTTGATACTTACAACTACCCCCTGACTATCATCAATTATTGTTAAACTTGGTATGAGATCTGGGGAGCTTTTACCTCTCCACTGCTGGGCTCAGCATATGTCACCTGGTGTGCTGATTTGGGGAAAACTTAATATTCCTAGTCAGTGTCTCTGATTTCATCCTTACGGGAAACACTAACACAAAATGCAGATTAAGTAAGAGTTCCCTAGCACTGGAAAATTTTGATTTATAAGCCACTTGTATATTTCCTTTCCAAATGTGTCTTCATGATACTTTGGTTGGGCCGAATCGGCATCCCCTAAGGACTCTGAAACTCATTATTTCTCTCAGACTTCCTTAGAACCTTAAGCAGGAAGACAGGGAATGTATCTTGTGCCAGCTGTACATTCTTACTTTCCTAGTAACTAATTCTAATGGAAAGTTAAGTATTTGTTTTGGTTGTTGAGGAAAGGTGCAGGTTTCCCAGTGGTCCCTGAGTTTGCCACAAATGGCCGAATGAATTTGTGCAACACACGCGCTGTGGCCTTTCTGTTCTTTGTACTGTTAAGGGACCCCATGGACACAAACATATGCTCACACAACATCACCCTGAGCATCTTCCCAGGACCCCAACACTGTCAGAGGGCAACAGGTCACCTAGATGCAGAGGCTGGCAAACGAAGTTGGGAGTAAATGAGGAATGGACTCACATGCTCCCTTTCCGTTCTGCCCTGTGGTTCCCAGAAGACAAATGCTCGCTCTGCCCTTACCCTGTTCTCCACAGTCA